TCTTCATAAGGTATTAAAGCTATGATAAGTGAATGAGTTTAATTCAAATATTTTCACATGTTCTAAGTGATAAACAGACACATACCTAATTGTTTCTGTTAGATTTTTTTTCACGGCAGACAATCTGAATAAAACTATTCGATGATCATCAGAAAAGATGCGAAAAATATCTGGCTAGCTGTATAATAACATATGACAGAAAAACATTTTGGCGGATTTCAATGCATATAGAGAAAACGGTTGTAAAACTTACAAATGAATGAAAATCTGAGCCGCAGAAAGACTGGAACTAGCTTCCCTCATATAGTTAGTCCGATGTCAGCCAAGAGGAAGTCCTTTTTTCTTTCTTTCACTTTCCCCGGTGGAACATTGGGCTTCAAGCTATTGGCTTGAAGTTTCTGCAGCAGTGTTTGTTTTACAGGATGGAGTTGCTAGCCTCATGCCCAACCTTTCCTCCTTACCAGCATTATTTCTGGCTTAGCGGGGTAAAGGAGTGAGTCGGCCGGGGATCGAACCCCGAACCACGTGCATGGTCAGCGAGCGTCCTAACCGCCATGCTACCGAGGAGGTCCTACTTGACAATAAATTTATGTTCCTGTCTTCATATGTACAATCTTAAGGAAAACCACTTGGCATATGATATCCCGAAGAAATTCATATCATAACTTACTCCCCGTGGAATTGGATGGCTTGTGTGAATTGGTTGTTAAAGAAAGAAGGCTCCAACAGGAGAGCATTGTTGAAGCTTTCAACATTGTCACTCGCCCAACTGACAAAACACTACTAATTACATTGGTAGAACTCACTTCATTTGGTTTTCCGTATTTAGTAATGCGAGAGGTGTTTGGCAGTTGGTTATACTCCTTTGAAAACATATGGTTTTATTAAATTACAATGTGGATTTATTGAATGTATTGTCATAATGTTCAGTAGTTAAGTACCTGTGACTAAGTAAATGAGAAAGAGTTCCCCTTAAACATCTCTCTGCTGTCTGTTATGAGAATTCGAACCTCACCCTACTTAATAGATACTCTGTAACACATTGAAACAGGTAGGCTGAGCGGACGAGTTATCAATACTATGAGATGCCCACTCAGGGTTTCACTGATTGCCAATAATAAGCAAACATACTGATGAAATTTGATTCATAAAACTAAAACGGTGAATTTACGTATAGCTGCCGATGAGGATACATTAGGAGATAAATAAAACAGGCCTATTTCAGATTTTCTGAAAACATACTGAAAATAAACCTGTAAACAGCTTAATCATAAGATATCTAACTGATGTAGGACATCTGATGGACTTCTTGACTTACTTCGAAATTATAAACAAACAACCATGCTCAACCCTCTTGAAGTTCGCACTAGGCATTGTTAACATACAAATAGAATCTGGCTTATGTAGTTATAAAGAAGCTGTAGTGAGTCTTTCCCTGCCTTGATTACTTATCCTTTAACCTTTATTTATGGCATCTCGTATTGAATGTAGGCGTTGGTCTCGTTCCGCTCTTACTCAGTTATATCACTATTTATTACACGACACTGTCGATATGTCTGATGTCTTACTAGAGGAGTTCAGATCATCTTTTCTATTAACAGTTTTCGAATGACTTGTATCATCATATAATTTGCATATTTCACTATCGTTGTATTAACTTTGCTTCCCACCTCCTGTTTCACTCGTAAAACCGCTGTAGCATTAAAACATACATAGGTACAGTAGCACTTTTATATTTTTCTAACTTAACATTTCAATTCATCAACAGGCTATGGTTCTTCGTATTGTTCGACATTCTATCTACCTGCTAAATAAAATACATTAAATTTATATTAAAACCATTAAACTATCATTTTTCACATTGTAGGCAGTTGATATGGTATCGACTAAATAAAATAGATCAGTTTTCGCCTGCTACACGTGTTGCTATTGCTTTGTTCTATAATGGCCAATTTATTCACATGTATACACATTATCACAGTTGTGCATTCGCTAATATTTAGATTTCACTTCAGTTAAAATATTTTTAAATGGTCACTTAATTTCGAGGGTGCTTCCGCTACAAATTAAACAGCCACTGAAATATCGAGGAGCACTTGATAGCCATTCTATCTGAATCTGAATCTATACAACTGTTAAAGCTTACAGGTAGCTCGGGGGAACTGTACGTAAACGATGTGTTGCTAGGCTATTGAAATACACTAGAATAAATGTATTTAAATACTAGTTCACTCAAAATCGCATGTCTTTTAAATAACTTGGCAACATGCCGGTTAATTTCAGTCTGTCGAGGGTAGAATAAGTAAGTATATCATTCAGTTCCTACTGAGGGGCTGCATGATAAAGTACTACCCGGGAAACAGAACTATTCTGGGCTGTGTTCTCTCATGAATTTATTCATGTTTGCGGTCCTGCTCCTCCTTGTTTTTATTACTTTTCTGCATGATGTTTACTCGTAATTAAATCCTTTCCTAGATATTTCAGCTGCATATTTTACTCCCCATGCAAGTAATCATTACGATGTGTCCGTGCTTTACTCACAGTCGATATTCCTGTTCATACTTCTCATCAGATTTAAATAAATTATCTTATTGATGAAACGATGGATGCTGAACTCAAGTTTCTTATATAAAAAACGGATTTATTCTAAATTTAAAATAACATTTGTTTTGAATTCCATTGTACTAGCTTAACAATCTCCACAGTTAATAAAAGTTATGCATAACACTATTACAGGTTTGGTCACGAGGTGACACTAGCCAGAGAACCACCGGAAATCTGAGAGTTGTGTGAGGCTGATCCGCCTCATTTTGGGTCTCTCCAGAAATACGTGCTCATCCGGCACCGACCCCAGGACCTTTCGGTTGCGATGCGATCTCGTATACCATTTATTCACTGATACCTAGTCAAAAGGCCCATAAATCCTGACTTCTCCCGATTCGCGATATTTTTGATGCTGTTCTAGTGAGAAGTGGTGACCACTGGGGTGTACCAAGTCAGGTAAGAGGGCAGCTACTCTGTGACGATATTGACTGCCGGTGTCGCTATACAGAGCGAATTTGCAGCAGTTTGAATTCACGGTGCGTTGGGTCGGGTTATAGGAGGTGGATGGTCTAAGAACTTATCTTGGAACCGGAGGGTGCATCGTTCTAACCACTCCGGAAGCGCAATGATGAAGAGACCAAGACTAGGACGAAACCGCTGCACAGTATTATCTGCTTTCCAGGGGATTGATCTCTATCTGATGTCAGCTCGTTAACAAACCAGTAACCAATCAAATCCCTGCAAACCCACACTTGGAAATATAACAATTTTTAGACAAGAAACTAATTTTCTCACGAAAAATCAAACAATAATCCATGTGATTATTTTTTTTTTATTTGAATAAGGTAATCGAAATATGTTTCCAAATTCTAGCTAGAAAACTTTAATTCCAAATAGTTTTTAGACAAAAATTGCACTTTGGTTTTTCCTATTTGGAATCACTAACATATTTCATCACATGTAAATCTTTAAAATTGTGAATTATTCAGGTTCAATATTCAAGTGGTTTAATCAGAAGCGTTCAACCAATTCTTTACGTTGTGAACATTACTAAAATGTGTTCATTCAAGCTTAGACTTTATGGCTTTAATATGTTTTTAACTTGTTTAGTGCTATAAAGACACTACTAAAACACTGAACATATTTACCTGAAAGTTTTTGACGAATCGAATGACTTCTAATTTGCGGTGGGATCTGCCTATCACTAAATATACTGATCGAATTCACAATGTGGTCAGTAAACTAAGTGGCACTAAACAAGTGTTTAATAGTCGGGAAACATCTGTTGTCTTGAATCTGTGTTACTTGAATAGAGAAAAGTATTGGCTTAATCCACAAATTTCATTTAGTCGACTGATCTGCACCTTTTCATCATTTGTATCAATAATTTCCTGTTATTAATTTTACTGAACCGAATTGGTCAATGTATTTTAGCGTTTGGTCTCATCAGCTGATAAGTTTTAAGTAAGATGAAATGCGTTCCATGGATTTTCTCTTTGTGAGTTCAGGATCAAACGAAAGATTATTTTGAGATAAGCATTTAGGAACAGCCACACTTCAACACATCAGATAGCAATAAGAAATGACCATTAAAAGTAATCAGTAATATGTCATACATTGTAGTCTGGTGTTTCATATGGATGCATCCTCCGTTCAAAACCAGTGGAAGTATCACTTACATAAATGAAAGATTTAGGAACCAAAACGTGTGTACTGTATTCATCTGCTAATCTGAAATAAACATTTGAAGACAATGTAAAATAACAACTAGATTATCACTTTGGTATGCGACACATTTTGTCTTCCCAGTGTGTATCTGATTCCTCTGCATTTCCTTTAGCATTTTGTTGGGTAATATTATTTTTTTGATTACAGCTTGGTTCCACACCTTATTTTTGGTACAGGTATAGAATTTTCAGCATGTGATATCGGTAGTCCGAATTTAGCAGGCTGACCATAGATATCAGGCGTGCGTCGGCAGGGGATCGAACCCCGAACCGTATGCATGATCGGCGAGAGTCATAACCGCTGGGCCACCGATCATGTGATCTTCAGTACTGAGCGAAGGCAACTATTGATGAAATTCTGAAGTCCAATGCAGCTGCCTTCCATGATGTTCCAAGTCTTTGAACCATACGAAAGAACTGATTTGATACAAGCGTTGAAAATCTGAATCTTACTCTTTATGCTGACGGTAACAGATTTTCACTCTGATTTCAGAGTCATAAATTTCTGTATTTGACATCCTCATCTAAGCAGCCTATCTGTAGTTGGAACGATGCTTTCTAGATAACTGAAAGGACTAATCTTCTTTAGATTTCTGTCGTTGTTGGTGATTGTTGTTCGTAGTTGTTAGTGAGGTGTGTTCATAATTCCAAATGTGCACATGAAACGAAGCATTGTTCAATTGACATGCACAGTAGCTTACTTTATTTTCAATTTTTCTTATTAACTAGGTACTGATGAGAAAGGTCTGATAGATGTTTTGGGTCATCGTGATATTTTCCAAAGACTTGAAATTCGTGACCGATACAAAGCGTTGTATGGACAGGTAAGACAACATACCTATGCATATGTAGTAAATTGTACTTTACGTTTAGATTTATAGATTTTCCTCACTGACTAAAGGCCTTATTTCCTGTTTAAATGTCTTGCTTATTAAGATTTCACAAGGCTGATATTATTCTCTTTTGATTACAATGCGTTGTTCACTAAGCTTAAATTTCTGTTTGATTACCAATCAGTGAATCCATATTTCACGAGTATGTGATGCGAAATCAAGCTAGTGTAAATAGGCTTTTTTAAGTGGTGAAGATTGTCAGATTTCATAATGTTATAAATAATAAGCTCCGTAGGTGCTACTGTCGTCTGCAACCATCGCTAACCAGGTAATGAAAACTTAAAGCTCCTACCGCTAACATTAAAGAAGGGTTAAATTCTCAAAGTTAATTTCCGTACAAGACTAAGCTAAATGAAAGGAGGAACGAATCCAGATAAGGATCAAATTATTCAAAGTTTTTATGGAAGATGTAAATAGCTCACAGGTCAGGCATATCTCAGGAAAATAGACAAAAGTACGTCCAGAAGTGATCGGTTTTAAGTACTTCTATATAAGGACAAAAGAACAATCCAAAAATATTAAAATTACATAGAAATGACAAACGTTAGACATCAGGTTAGATTTAGTTTATGACTTTTCTGCACTACCAGCATGTCTGTCAATGTGGAATACGGTGAGAATTTTTACAGTATCTCTTAAAAAGTACATTACCATTAAGCTGGTAGATCCAAGTCTTTAATTTCTACCGATTGGCAATTTAGCGCCGATAGCTAATGTTGTATGACTAACCGTCTTTGAGACCAATGTGCCTGACATATGTGTGAATGGTTTCTCAAAGAGTTTTGAGAAACTCCTTTCTAGGTAAGTCAGTTATTGGCAGTGGTTTGACATTTAATTTCAGAAACTGTGGTAAACGAAATCATTTCAAAATATTATTAGTCGCCAATAAGCAGCTGTTTAAGGTCTTTTAATCATCATTTGTTTTAAAAATGATGAAATGAATTCATTTTCGAAAAGTATCTTCACGAAAGATGCCATATTTTGTGCATTTCAAAACAAGTTAAACTGACACAAATATATTGCAGCCACTTTCAATCATTTCTCTGTCTAGTTTTCATTCACCAGAAGTTAACAGCCTTCCACACAAGCTATTTTCGAAATGTTTCCTAGATAGCACGAATATTTACCCAAATACTTGTTATATGCATAATATTTGCTGGTTTGAAGCAATAACTTCTGTGTTAGAACCTTGGAATAAGTACCCATGTTCTCTTAAATGCACTGAGCTCCAAACAGGAAATAGCCATGCATATCGAGTCGCACTGATATGCACTACAATAAAAAACTCAATGAAGTCGAGTACAGTGCTAAAATGCCTACCATATGAGAAATGTATGTTTGAAAACCAGCCAACCTGATGACATCTTAGTAGTACTTGGATCTGAGGAAGGTCTTTCTTTGACTTTAGGATGTTCCAAATAGAATTATCTACGTCTCAAAATCTAGATAATGAGATGCAACTAAGCAGTAACATTTACCTTCAGTTAATCCTCTGGATACAACCAAAAGCGTTTCAAGAGATATTTAAGACTGATAGCAAAATGCCAGTACAAGTGGCTCATATTAGTAAAAATGATAAATTACATCTATGAATATTAACATTCAGTATTTCAAGGTTCTTGGCTTAATAGCATCTTCTTTAATAACATCAATTTAATAACTATTCGCTACCGAATTCATTCGAATTTATTAATGCAAAAATTGTGGTTGATAGATTTAGTGAGAGAATAACCGCTTTACGAAAATCAAATAAGTTGTTTTTCACTTGTTCCGCCTTGTTAAGACTAAGAACTTTAATGTCACTATTGAGAAATACTAATCTTATAAAACACGCTGCTACACTGTACCCTCAGTTTATGATATCAGGTTAAAGATTAGTTTTGCAGACAAACTGTATATCTCTGAAGGATTACCAAAAGTTCCCACCACATAAGACGTATTCCGAGGATACATTCTTCAAATAAAATGGAAACGATTGCGATTACGCTATGTTTTTAGAATCCAGTGGCTGTCACCTGTCAATTAATTTCAAATTAAAACGTCGCTAGATTTCGGAATTTGAGATTTCACGTTTATCTACGATGTGTGTCATGCCGATTTTGAATCGAAAGTTTATATATTTCCAGGTGTCATTTATTAAATGAGATGAAAAGCATTCAAAATATTATAGATCTGTCATGACCTTTTGGCTGTAGAACGTCTGAAGTTCAAGGTCGGCCACAAAAGGAACTACATACTCAGTAGCTTAACAAACAATGACTCACGTTAACTTGTTAATAAATACAAAAAGAAAAAATCACGCAGACTAATAAAACTGTAAAATCAAATTTTTCAGTCTTTCAGTATTTATTATTTTTTTAGGCCATTTTTCTAACCGATGAAATTTGAACTAGGCGTGAAGTGATATTAAACACAAAGATTTCTGCTTTCACAAAAAAACGTATTCACACTTCGTGTCATTCTATGATTTGTCTCATTCGTGACACGTCATTTAGTCATATCTGTAACAAAATTCTTTATAAACTTCTCATTGTAATTTCCAGCTGTTATTTGTCGTTTCAAACATAGAGTCATTATCTACGCAAAAGTCACCTGTTCGGCTCGATACATCATTTGCCACAGAATTCAACAGAATGAAGTTTCCAACCACCGTTGACACATGATCTTGAACAGATATAGATATACCACCTTCAGTTTAATTCTAGTTCTATTTTTTTTCAGTGATGACTAGCGGTGGAATCTAGTACATTTAATTTTTATTATTCAGGATTCTTTAAAGAGATATACTTCCATCCCAATGAATTCTAATGCTCTGTCTGAAGCTCTCACATAAAGTTCAGTATTTTAAAATAACAGAACTTTATCCAACTTGATGCCATACCATATGGTAATGTCCAATTCTGTCGATCAAGAAGTGTTATGGAAACGTTTGACTAATGCAGTCCTAAAAGGGTTAAAGGAAAGTTTTTTTTATCTAAAATGACCACAGATAGTGACATCCACTATCCAGCGATACCCATTATAACGAATTTCCTTCGGATACGTAATCTCAATGAGTGGTTCACCTTCCCTGAACAACACTTTGCGCTTAATTTCGATATTACTTATTATGTTATCCCACCTAATGAAGGGAAATCAACAAAGATACTTGAAGTCAGAACTCTATGCTCTTTCTGTCCAGCTGTAATGAACCTCAGGGGTTATTGACTGTTGTTTATATGGCTTAAAATAGCTAATAATGGCGCAAGTATATTCATTCCTTCATAACTTTGGAAGTGAGGACATTTTAACTCCTCTTTGTTTACTTATTAGACTGTATTGTGACAGGGCGACTCTCCTCCTAATATATGCCTCTTAGAAAGAATTATAGTAGCTTGAACCTTTGCATGTTAGTACAAAATTCTAGGTTGTTTGTGAGTCAGTCAGATATCGGAGTAAATTTTGATTAATTTTAGTCTCATCGACTAAAAGAATTGTGTCCAGTGTTCGAAGAAACAGCAGTTACATCACGCATGATGATAGTCAACTTATCAGCAACACCTTATTGATACATAATGAAAAGAGGCGAGCCATAATCGATACACTGACGAAATCAAAACTTTCTTATTAACAAAATGACAAATCGTGAGGCATAGAATCGGTCACAAACCAAAAAGCTACTTAATTCAGACGAAATTCCCCCATTGCAAATCACGGAAGTTACACTGAATTGACTTTTCCATGAATTAATACTAAAAATGTTGTCTCCGAAGAAATTGAAAGCCTTTTTTGTTATTTTACAAACTCAGCACTTTACATTTTTGAAAGATTATTCATTTTTCCACACTGCCATTTGTAATGGACTAAAATCATTATTTTATTCAGTCAATAGACTAATGTTCTCTTGTTTTCGTGAACTTTTTAGGATTTGATAGAGGAAATTATAGGTGAAACAAGCGGTGAATTTAGAAGTCTACTTAAAATCCTTTTGCTGGAAACACCAAAAGTGAATGCTCGTGCTCTCTATAAAGCTATGAAAGGCGGTGGTACAGATGAAGAGACTATCATAGAAATTTTATGTACATCTACCAATGCGGAAATCCTTGAGATTAGACAATTTTATCCATATGGTAAGTCGTTTCAAGAGTTATTATAATGTTGAGTACTGAGGGTGTATATATGATCAAAATCAATTGTGGTGACTAGTATAAGAGTGGAATGCTTGACAATGGTTAAACTCACAGTTTTCATATATGATCATGATCAACAGTTCGTTAAAACGAAGCTAGAGATGCATAAATTACAGCTGTTTGTAGAAGACTTCCACTTCATATCTACAACATTTTACTATATGGAACATATCTATAAAGTCTATAATATCCATGATTCCTATGGACACTTGCTTTTGCAATGATTTTCAGTAGTTACGTGGAGTAGTTTTATCATTTAATACTTGTGAATACAGAATACCGAAAATTAACAGCAATTATTACTCAGTTAATGTTACCAGAACTTTTTTGTACTACCGTATATTGTTTAGTGTTCCTAACGGGAACCAGGGAGTACTGAACATCAATTTTGTCTCATTTCGGGACACTACTGCAGTACACACCCAGTGAGATCCTAAACAAGGACCTCCCGGTTACGAGGCGAGTTTGTAGATCATTTAGCTACTGCTACCTGACCTAGCGCCTCACGAATTCCAGTTTCTACCAATTCGTGAGAGAGAAAGCAACCGGAAGCTCCTGGTAGTTGCATAATGCTGAAGAGTCCTAGATTGGGAAGAAACAGTTGTTCAGTACCCCTTGATTCTCCGGTTGTTCTCTAAATGAATCCAGCTCGTGATCTAACCCGTGATCAGTCAAATCCCTGCGAACCATCACTTGATATTTGATGAGTAACAAGACAAGTTGGACCCAAATTCACATCGAAGTTTAAGATTCCATATGATTTTGGGACAAAAGTTAATCCACTTAAGGAAACAAGGACTATTTCCCAATGACAAACACACAATAGTGACGAGTGTTATAATCAGTATAACTTCCAGTCAGTTGTTTTTTGTAGTCTATAACTTTGCATACCATCAAAGTAATATACTTTAAATAATTTGATTTTGGTCTTTACTTTTTTAGTACTGATGGATTATGGAGCGGGTAAGTTGAACTGTTTTACTTATCAGTACAATAAGTGTTTTTTCTCTTCTCTGATAATACAGGTGTGGATTAATCTATATCTTATGGCATATAGGCTCCTTCTACAGGCATCCCAACATTACTTACAGAGATATCCTGGTTATAAATTTATAAGTGGTTATTAGTAGGATAATTCAGGACGGTATTTATCATCCTATATGAAACCTGCCATCTAAAAATACTGGCTAGAGTTAATTGTTCACAATGAGATTCAAAATCAGTGTCAGTTGTTAGAAGTATGAAAGAGATATTCTTTGCGCTAAGTAGCTTTGATACCCATCTCATGTTTATCAGTCGGATATTTTTCTTATTGTAGCTACAAAAGAATAAAATGATCAGTTTTTTTCGACAGACTGTTGACTTTCTTCCTCGTGTGATACTCAACAGTTTACAATAAATTCATCACTATCTCATTGACCAAATATTATGTATATTTAAATGACTGACTAATCTCTACTATGCATACACAACTTGGCAAAAGCTGAAATCCATGGACCACTGGTTTCCTCAGCATACTTGCGTCAGAACCTAATGGTTTTTGGCTCATCTCCTCACAGTGCCACGGCTGGGCATTTAAGCATTTTCAAAAATAAGGACAGAGCACCTGTCCATTGTTCCTTCTTTTTCAACAGTTGGTTAAATAACTTTACTTCATAGTAAAAATCTACTCGAAACTAAAATCATCTGCACTATTATAATTGTATAAACATTTAATCCAAAAACTTATTCTAAGCGATGTTTTTTTCAAAATCTACTTTTAATTTTGACAGATAGCTCGCGAACTCTAGAAGATGATGTTAAAGATGATATTGGCGGTTATTTCGGAAATTTCATCGTGGCACTACTTCAAGCAGAACGTGCTGAAGTTGACATTGAAGATGTGAAAAAAATAGCGAGTAAAGGCCTTCAGAGTGTAGTTGATATGAGCTTAGTCAGAGAAGATGTTGATACTCTTTGGGATGCTGGTGAAGCGTAAGTGAATTGATTTTTATTTGTATAAAACATCAATGGAGATATTGAAAAGAGTTTAGTAAAAGGTATATGATAAACACCGATTTAGATATCTGCTGATACAATGTATGATATCCAGCTATGTGAAAAGCGGTTACTGGTATTAATATACAGTCTACACAAAGCTTTTTCGCCTTCATTTGCACCAATAAAGACATCAGTCTTCCGTAGAGCGAAGTTAATGTAATTTTAATTAACTGAAACTTCGTTATATCAGTTAAGATTGAATGTTTACGAGTGTGTCTGTACTCCCAATAATACCAGAATACAACATCCACGGAGACATTCACTGAATAACTGAATTATAACCAAATGATCATTTGGATGCAGTAAAACAAATTACGGAAAATCAGTAAAAGTGAATAACTTAGTTCAAACACAAGGATGAAATTTTAGGATCAATTTAGCCATACACATCATCAAAATTGTTTGATGAATGAATCAGCTTCTGAAGTTTACATTTTGTACTAACAGTCTCTTAATATTCAATATCTAGTTATGGGCTATCCATCACTAAACTAGTTTAACCACTCAGCTTAAGAGTCTTTTTGTCACTTATGATTATACACTTCTAATCTACCTCAGTGGCCATCCCGTTATTCAGAATTGTTTTCTTGTATTAATTATCCCTAATATCCCAAATTAAACTGCATTTCGAAATGACTGACATGGTTCTTTTATTTACCATGATATATTCTGCATAATTTTAATCTTAGTTGACATTTAGCTAACTGTTTAGTGGTAACTGCAATTGGTAGCTTATATAAAGTTACTTTGTGACAGCCAAGCTTCATTGTGACGATGGTACTAGCTACAAAGACGGTTATAATTCCCCAGTTAATATTTCCTGAACTTTGTCAACTAATCATAAAACACAGCAGTAGTCAATGCCATGAGTAAACAATTGCTTCTTTAGCCTGATTTGGCTTTAAGTCAATCACTGAAACTTGAAAAGATTCATTTTGAAGGTTTCTGTCAGAAATTAGTTTATTCATTCAGCACTTTGAAAAAGATAACTTGACTAAAAGTGTCTTTTACACTACAGGAACATATGAGATACAGTTAAAAGTAGGGGTCAGGTGTAAGCTTAATTCATCTAAGGATATGGAAAAAATTGAACGAGAAAGAATAGAATCACAGACTCCTCAGCTTTACGACATAATAGTATCCGTTTGGAAAGTTAGGTTTCTTTAGTCGAAAGTTGTGTTGAGACAGGGGTCTTTTCACACCAAGCTGAAATTTTATTGACAGTACGGTTTTCTCATACCTGTTTATGCTAACACTTCTTAAATGCACAACTGTCAGATGCAGTAATAAAAAAGAAGCACACCAGATAACTTGCCACATGCAAATATCAGTTATCCAAGTTCATCAAGAACACAAGATACTGACCTCGAAAAACTAGAGATAAAAACGATGATGCTAACCCTTTCAGGCTATAAACAAATTAGTTCCAGAAGTCATAATAACTAAGGATCACAATGTCCATATCGTCGAATAGTTGTTTAAAAGACGGATATACAGCACAGGCAGAGACGACACCTCTGTGTTAGAGTCTTGATAATAAGAGAATTGCATGGAGGATTTAATCATGAGCTGACATCAGTTAAAGAACCACTGGAAAACCTGGGAGTACTAGACAGCCGTTTCGTCCTAGTTTGGGACTCCTCAGCAGTACGCACCCACCGGGATTCGAACCCAGGACCTTCTGGTTACAAGGCGAGCTCGTAGACCATTGAGCCATTGGGACCCGATCCAATGGTCCTTGAATTCTAACTTCTGCCAGTTCACGACATAGCGCGACCACTTCGCAATGTCTTCTTCGATGAGTTACTGCCTCATCTTCGACCTGCTGTACCCTACTGGTCACGGCTTCCCACTAGAACCCCAGGTTAACTGCCTGAATAGGGCCAGTCACTAGTGAGCATCAGATGAATTTTCAAGTATTGGTTTTTGTAGGGATTTGTAGGGATCGGGTCCCAGTGGCTCAATGGTCTACGAGCTCGCCTTGTAACCAGAAGGTCCTAGGTTCGAATCCCGGTGGGTGCGTACTGCTGAGGAGTCCCAAACTAGGACGAAACGGCTGTCCAGTACTCCCAGGTTTTCCAGTGGTTCTCTAACTGATGTCAGCTCATGATTAAATCCTCCATGCAATCAAATAAAATCCCTACAAAAACCAATACTTGAAAATAAGAGAATTGGTTAAGACTCAACCACTCAACGAAGTTATCAGGACCTTTGTGTGAACCAGATAAAGAGACCAAATATTTTGAATAATATTTAAAATCCAAAATATCCCTGAGAATAATAAGGTCAAGTAAATGGTTGACTGGCTAAATACAGAAGTGTGAGAATAGACAAGAAGGCATCACTGTCTTTACCAGCTTTCACCTGACTGTGAGCATGATGACTGAAGTCATCATCACTTCAGATTACACATATAACGTAAGATTCATATATTAGACAAAACACATTCACCACAGATCCATAAATACAATGTCATTCATTTGAATCTTACTGTAACACTAATCTTTATAAAAATGTCGTCAGCGGACTTGAAATTAAGCTGGAAGTACTGAAATATTGTTTTCTTTCGGAAAAAGTATACCTTGTTTTGTAAGTTTCATGTGGTTCAACTTGTTAATTTTTCTTTAAAGGCATCTGGGGACTGATGAGTCAGCCATTATCAAGATTATTGCAAATCGAAGCGTCTGGCATATACAAGCAGTCGCACAACAATATGAACAGGTTTGTACTTTTATATATGGACATATATATGTATCTGCACTCAGAAAACACGGTCTACTGGTTCATGCATGTCATTCACAACCAAACAATTAGAATTATCAGGTCTGTATGTTAGAAACCTCATTTTAAGTGATGTAAAAGCGTAGAACAAAGAGAAGTGCATAGATGTGGGGAATATTATCGTAAATACTTCTGGTCCACAATGGAAAAGTTAACAAAAGCGCATTACCGAAGACAGCAAAACAACTTTACCCTTGAATCTCAGTCATTATGTAAGCTATTCACATTATGCTGATAGTGACCTTTAGTTTCATAGACACTTTTTAGAACCCTAAGGAAAAATCCGTTCATTGTGATGGCAAACTAAACTACAATATGATACTAACCACCCTAGTTTACACTCTATGTTTCTAGGACTCTGCATGAAGAAACAATTCCTGTATAAGATGAGATTTAAGAATATTCAGTCTAGAATCATTATTGTTCATTATTTGAAATAATATACTAAGGCCACAAAATGTCCAGAAATGATCACAAAAGTTGAACAAATGTTAACATTACTTAGGCGTATAAACACCAACAAAAAAGTCATTCATTTAGTTTAACTTTATTATTACATTCTTTTAACAGAAATACGGAAGATCACTGATCGATTCGATTGAGTCTGAAACATCAGGTGATTTTGAAAGAGCTCTTGTATTATGTGGTAAGTCGACTTATTTTTATTTATTTTGTGCATTCACTTGATTTTTCTGTGTTAGTATTTCTATGTTAATCTTATGCAAAGATTATATCATCAGTGGAGTGAATCGATATCAATTAAAAAATCATCAGAATCCAGAGAAAATAAAGTAGTTTCTGTCTATGAAATAGGGATTTCATTAAGAGTCTGTATTTATTCTTTTGTATGAGACAGGGTTCAGGAGTGTCAAATTTCCAGGGGCTTTAGATCAGAATACTGCTGTTATTGAAGATAAAACAGTAGTGAAAAAATTTCATTCTGTTTCCCCACACTATTCCTAGTCCTAAGTAGGGAAGCTGGCGAGTTAATCACTAATCCACCTAGCCGCGAAATGCCATAAAATTGTTGTGAACCAAGAGGTTATTCAGTATCCATCCTGGCTTGGTCAATGATCTCCCTTTTTCTAGTAAAATCGACTTGAAAAACTTTTAGCATACAATCTGGTTTTCGTAGCATACTAAAGACAGAATTATTTTTCTAACCGCTTTAAACTAATTTGTAAATCAACACCCTCTTGTTAGTGTGGAATTGTAACACAATTTAGAATAATTCCAGCATGTCTAGCAGTAGCTGATTAACGATTATGAGACTGCGTACTTGACATTCTACTAAGCAACTGGAGAAGAGATACGAAACTAAAAAAAACTGCCCTTCCAACTTCTTAGCTTCAGGTGTCTTTTTGTTTATAATCCGTTTCACTTAGATATTGTTAGGTTTCGAGTTTTAATGTTTTCCTATGCATATTGACTTTCACTTAGTCAATAGTACAATAACTTTGGAAACCCTTTAATCTACTTCGATTTGCATGGTGAGATTTCAGAGAGTATGTAGGCTTCATATTCTTTGATGGAGACATATGTATATATATGTATGCCTGATGAGTTACGATCACAGTCACAGGAGCTATGTTCACAAAAATCCTTGGATAAACAACACTCATAATTTTCTGTAGGCTTCATTGAAATCACATGACCGGTATTTGTTTCTATAAGGCCTTCTTGGAAAGATGTATCGATTATTAAAATCTAAAATTGATAATGAAACCCATGTTTTGTCTTGTGCGGGAGTCTGTAAGGTATTGGGTATGCCGCTGATAAGCTACACTATACCAGTCTTAGTAAACGTAGTTTGCCTAATTACTCAGTCAGTTAGTACACTATCTGACTTGCAAAAACTGATTGTAAAACGTAAACGAAAAGACAGCTTTTTATTGATGTACTCTGACGAGCAGTAGACCTGAATAGAGTGAAAAGTCAATATTATATATGGAGATGAATTTAGAAATTATCTGGCTAGTATGTCTCAGCTACGGACTAATAGTTTGTGCGCTCACAAGGAAGGATAGATAGGTGGCATCCGTGCCTATCCGCATACGTAACCGTTAGAGCAAAACTGAAAGCACCTGAAGCATACTCAGGCTGTCAAGACGTTTATTTGGTTAATATTAAATTGATTAGGTTTGATCTACTAATTCTAGGCCTATATTCACTTTGGCAGAGTGGAAGTTATACTACAATCTGTTAGCTGAATATTCACTAAACTACGGTGCAAGTCGAAAGACGACATAGCATAACATTTCAAAATCAAGAGAGGCAACATTCTTTTTAAAATGAGACCATGAAGAATACAAACATTAATTTGTGAATCACCAACATAATAACCGTACTATCACAACTGTTGACAATTAAGTGTACAACCAAACCAGTAGACAACATGAAGCTTCATTGAATCAAAACTAACTGCGCTAATTGTGCTATTTCATGATAGAAAGCAGAAAATAAGGTTGTGGTGAGAGCTGGCTACTGGCCAAAGTTGGTAGACAGTAATTTACGTCAGTGTTTATGTCCCCAATATTGGTCGTGAGAAAAGTGAGAACAAAGGCTTTGCGTAGGCGGATACAGTTAGCATGTAGATCATCTGACATTCAAGAAACAGCCACAAAGAGATGAAAGATTAACTTTCAGTGAAGAAACAACCAATCAGAGGGCTGTGTTTTTTCTGCTAACAATAATCTATAATAATGTACATGAAAATCTATAAATATGCGTTGATTTCGTAAATAAACAATCTGTTGCCTGGCCCTTGTCTTCTGCTGTTACAAGATCAGCGCTGATAAAACAGTGGATATCTGTCGACATAAAACTGTCGACAACTGTCGACATCTTCAAAAGTGAAGCAAACAGAATACGAGTACATTTTACCATAGGAGATAAATATAGACCAGTCCTTTGAAATAATAATACATTACACATGGAAATGATCTTAGAAAGAAATAACAACAAAATAATAGAAAAAATGCATTCTCACTGACAAAAAACTGTGATTTTATCTGACCAAATACTTATCTACTCACTATAGTTGTTGATGGGAGATTAAATAATGCAAATACTAGATAGACTGTCTTATACCATGACAGTTCGTCTAAGTAAGTTGTAAAGATTCAGACTGTTTGTTGCTGGTTCTCTGCTTATAAGTTAGGCTTTAAAATTAGGATACTCTTAAAGTCCATGATTACGCATCTAATACTACTTTTATCCTTCAGTGAAACAATGCTGTAATCAGGCGTGTTTCTTGACTTATTATTTATTTTTCTATATTTTTCCATATTTTTCCCAAAAATAGTACAAGCTTGCATAAACCGTCCAAAGGCCTATGCAGATCTGTTGGCCAAAGCTATGAAAGGAGCTGGTACAGATGATGCTACACTTATGCGTATTATTGCTACCAGATGCGAGGTAAGCTTCTCATCATCTATCATACCTGACTTCGACATAAGTATAAAACTTGGGCACTGCATTATGGATAAGGTCTTATCCATAATGGAGTTATACATGATTTTGGTTAGTTGAACGTAGTAGTTAAATACATATTTAATATTCGGTGATCAGAAATACTTTAAGGCGTATAACTTCAATTTAAGAGCAAAAAAACGGTGACCAAGTTAAATCAGACCACTATAAGTTAACTGTCATACAAATCACGCAATATAGTGAGTGTTACATGTTTCTACAAGTTGTTATCAATGAACAATCTACAGAGTTCAAAATTTCACCTGAGTTGCGCCTTTCACTTTCTTCTAAGTGGTTGTCTTTCATGAACAGATTCTTCACTTCACAACCACTAAGTCGTGGTTGTGAAACAGCCACAGAGCTATGGAGCAGCTGAAACGTCGCTAGTGTGCACAGGACCTTTGGATCAGTAGCAGTGTATCTTAGGACTGTACTGTAAAGACGTTCAAATCTCAAAGAACTGTTTCACCTCCAAATAAGAAAAGAAGTGAACAAGCAATCAGCGAACGACTACCACAGATTTAGCCTGAAGCTCTGGAGGGAAAAGACAAATTCCAGAAAATGTGATATGTATTACTATAAGAGTAAAAAAAATACAAATCCGAGGCAGAAAACTATAGAATGGAATTACGGTTTTTTCATTTTTACTAAGCTTGGTTACAGCATTCAATAAGTTGCCCATTACAATCATATACTTGGTATCTACGACATAGAAGAAACAAGTAGCCATATCACAGCTATGCAGTATGTATGCATACATACAGACTTAAAATTTTGGAATTTTTGCGTTCTCTGATCTAAGCGGTCCCACAATCAAGTCTTTGTCATTCTAGACAATAACATTTACGCCAACTTCAAAAAGAAATTGGCTTACACAGATGTACGTTTGTGGAGCAATCGCATATTGAAATCCTTTAGACTGTTAGTGTTATGCATTTTCCCGAATTAAAATTTATATCTGTAGGTGTGTGTGGATTGATATAAAGGACGTTACTTTAATCATTTTATACAGAATGGTAATGCAAGTGTGGTAGTTGGACCATTCACTTTGCTCAGTCTTACTTATACCCCTGATAGTCTTCCGATTCCAATCATAATACCAACAAGTTGTCTAATCATAGTATTATCTGTTTTGATTAAGTAGCATTAAATCGTTTTTTTTTAATTATTCTTGCTTCTATCAAATATAGATCGATCTAGGTACAATTTGTGATGTATTTCAAAGGGAACAAGGCAGCAGCTTAGAAGATTGGGTACGTGATGAAACCTCGGGAGATTACCGTACACTTCTCTTAGCCTTACTTGGCACTGAATAAAGATGAAGAGGAATAAAGTCATTAACTGGTTACAAAAAATTACTATCTTGTTGTTTAACAATCAGACAGAATATAACTAATTAATTAATGATCATATACAGTGAAATTAAAGCAGTTTCAACTCAAGTTTCTTCTTTTAATTACTAACTAACCGGTTAAATAAATCTGTTCTGCTCATTTAATGTTAAACTGGTTGGAATTACCATGTAATAAATAATAATTTAGTGGCATGACATATATATATATATATATATATATATATATATATATATACTATTGCCTTGTAAACCTTCCCTGCTTGGTAATCACTGGTTATTTGAATGAATAAACCAAAGGCAAGTTGGTTGACTGTGTCTCTGATTAAAAATAGGCCAATTTCTCAAAGGTAACATAAGCTTCACTAGAACATGTGAGCGGGTAATTTTGCGTCAATTAGATCTTCTGCAGATTTAAATATAAGCTACAGAACTCCAAGTATTTATGAAGCTGTAACCAACAACTACGATTTGGAGGTTAGTGGTGAGGGTTATTTTTTTTCTGTGCCTTGAAGGCTCTGCAGCGATTGGGTTGATTTTTGTGGTTAGCGTAGCCAGACCTACGCTCAACCTTCCCTCTTTTTCTGTGTTTAGTACTGGCTAGTAAAACAGGGATGTACCTAAAAGCCTTTTGAACAAGTTCCAGACTCTAATCAATAGCTGTCTTCTCTCCATACTGAAGATCATGCAGTCATAAAGCATTACCAACAGGGAACTCTGGCTTCGAACCAAGAGTCTACGGCTGTGGCCCAACAAATATACAGAAGGAAACGGAGATGGATTGGACACACACTGAGAAGACCGTTAAGTTACATCACTCGCCAGGTCCAACAGTGGGACCCTAATGGGAAACAGTGAATCGAGCTTCAGAGGGCGACATGGAGGGGATCGTGTGAGAGCTTATGGGCAATCGTCCAGCAAGCCAAAAAGGGTTGCAGAAAGCAGGATGAAATGGAGATGTGCTGTTGAGGCCATCTGTTGGACTCGGAACCTAAGGGTAGAATAATAACGTTAAGTGTTATAAATCGTAATGACAATGAGAACGGTAATAGTAATAATAATAATAATAGTAGTGATAACAGACATAAACGAAGTTAACACAACTGACGACAAAAATAATTAAAATAATATTATGGTAGAAATGTTGCATTAATGTAACTTAATTGTATTCTTATCGAACTAAGAGATACATATTCCTCTGAGTGAATTGGACAAATGGCCAAGTCTAAATAAACAATAATAAGTACACCGAATAAAGGTGAACCTAAGGGATGGGATAAAGTACTTCAATGTTATATTCGTTTGACTAAGTCCTCTTTGACCGAAAAGAAAACAAAAAGATAGAACAATTTTCTCAGTTTTCTGTTATTGTAGTTACCTGTACTAGACCAAAATGAAAAATTCATTAGAATATGAGAAACGATTTCAAAAGTGCCGTTTCCCTATTGAATTAATCATCCTCTTGAATTAGCTATTTGTTCACCTCACATAGTTTTTCTCTTCAAAAGAACACCTAAAGTTGTATATTTCAATAAGTTACTGTTATTCTGCCTACAAAATATCTGTCAGTTACATAGTGATTAATACAGAAAGTGGAAGCATAATACGTCCTGTTTACCATTCTGAACAATCCTTGGCATAGAAATCCACTAACTTAATCTATGTTGAAGTGGATTCGGTTATGAAAGATGCGAGCGCTCCATTTGAGGTTGAACAAGTTCAAAATTTGACAATGTGAAGCTATTCTCTTAACCTTTCAGCTAAATATGTTTTTATATTTTATACTCAACTAAACTGGAATCACGATTCCTCCTACTTTAATTCGGTAATACTAAAAAGAGAAGAATAAAGACTGATAAGAAATAATGTTTAATATTTTATCGAAACTTTTCTATAAATCTTTAATAAACCTCCTCTGTAGATCTGCTTCCATCTTTTTCTTGAAATCAGAACTAAAAAGAAATACAGCTAAATGTTAGTTTGTTCGCATATACCGGGTTGTGAAGTCAGACAATAAATTGCACTGCCTACCACTTTCGATATCTGATTAACTTTCAGATCAGATGGCCACAAGTACGCCATTGAAGGTTCCCCTGTCAAAGGAAATCAGCTGCTATCACAGCAGCGAAATTCAGACCTGCATTACTGAGCACGAAACACCACATACATTATTACAAGTAATGACGATACACTTAGTGAACCTAATAGTAATAAATGTTACACCCAATGCTTCGATTTCTGTCTGTTACATTTCAGTCCATCCATGAAGATAACAAATAATATTTATCTGATGGATGAGTGCCTAGCCACCATATCAGTTTACTGAATATTTCAGTGTATACCTCGTCACGAATCAGAATCATTTGGGGAACCATTGCACAATTAAGATGATTGGAAAGCTAATTTATCATAGTTGCATCCACTAAAACAAGAGGAACTAAACCCACGACTCTCAGGTCAAAAGATTATCCAATATTCATAAGTCCTTTCATCGAATTCAGATGGACAAATCTCCCTAATTTTGAAGATTTATGACTTAGGAAAGCCGTGAATACCAACTAGCTACTCATTAGTATCTAACTTTAAGACGAATTTCCGAATTTTATTTTGTCCAGTTACATTGATTCGAAAGTGCTTCACACGTATTATGTAACTTCAACTTCTGCTTTTTAACCTTCACTTACTCCTTTTCTAGATCACATTTCATGTTACGTAACACATTTTGTAATAAAACCTAACCGCTAGTATCTGGTTAGTTTTATGAGCTCTTCGTTAAATATAAATACACTTCTATAGTTGTTATAAATAACTCGTAGAAAAGACAATTGTCTTCTCTGTTACGCCTTATTTTGTTTATGACTCAGTTTAGGAATTTTCATTTCATTCCTGTCATGCAAAGAAAAAGCCTTAATCTGGGTGTAACTAAAGTGCGGGGGGGGGTGATGGATGAAATTGAATCGAAAATCTTGTTTGTATTGGCATGATTCAAACTGAACGCCTGTAGATGAGCTACCCAGAGCACTATAGACTTATCCAACAGACTCTCTTAGTCGTACAGTCTAGTCTTCGGCCTAATCATGATTCAAACTATTGGTGACCGTCTTGACCCACTTGTCGGAACTATATAATATATATATTACATGAATGTAGAGCCTAATCCCTGTAAATTTCTAAACCAGAAACCATCTGACTGATGATGTCACGGCCACTTGCTGATAATAGTGAACAGAAATATATATTTATAAGTAAACTGGAAGAACAAGTGAATCAGTAACTCATGCACTTTTAATTCTAAATTTACAGTTCTTATTGTGGAATTTATCTGCAAAGGCATCTTTTCAAAATCATTTAATTGCACAGTTTTTTAAGCTGACTAGAACATCACATACCATGACTGTTGGAAATAATTTAGACAATTAAACGAATAATAACTTAGCAATTTCATCCATATCTCCTTAATAATAAAGAATTAACTCCAGAGTTTATAAAAACTTTTGCTTTGTTCACAAACTAACTTAACTCGAACCACTTCGAAACTGACCTTATAACTCGTTACATGGGTGTGTGTAACAGATGCATTTATTGTGAGATTAGTTGAAATCTACTGCATAAACACATTACAACTTCTAAATTTAAATAATATCTTGTTCAGAAAAAATAAAAGTTATGCGGCATTTGTTTATTTTATTTATTTTTGATTACAGCTTGATTCCACACCGCATTTTTTGGTACAGGTATGGAATTTTCAGTATGTGATATCGATAGCCCAAATTCTGCACGCTGACCATAGATATCAGGTATGTGTCGGCAGTGGATCGAACCCCGAACCATGTGCATGGTCGAGGAGAATCCTAAACACTGGGCCACCGGCGAATTTTCACGAGTAAACAAAGATATATTTGCTTTAGCTTACTTCCTCTCCCACCGTCATTAATCGTCATTGTCTAACTCAACCAACCCAGTCAAATTCCTACAAGCTAACTCTTGAAAATTAATCTGATACTGACTAGCGACTGACTAAAGGACGAAATTATCCGGAGTTCTTGTGAGAAGTCGTAACCAATGAACTCTATTAGCTCGAGTATGACGGCATGTACCAGCCAGTGATGTTGGCTGCAGGTAGCGTCAAAATGGAGAACTTGTGGAAGTTGGATTTCAGGGGCCATTGAATTCCGGCCTGGGTGGCTGAGTGATCAATGAGCTTGTCCTCGTAAGTCATGGGTTCTATCGCTAATAAAACTATAGGTGAATACTGACGAAGAGTTCCAAACCACAATAAAACGGCTGTCCTATAGTTCCAGCTTTCCAGTAGTTCTCTCAAATGATGTCAATCCGCGGTCAAACTTAGAACTTATGTTCTGTTAAAAATTTCGTCTTTCGTCATTCAATGGTGATGTTGGTGAATATACCATTGAATTATTTCGGTAAGGACTATCTTAAAAGGTATTAAATAGCCAACAGATGACAGCACTCATGGCTAATTTAAAAAAATTATGTTCATTCACCTTAACCTATTATGCAATCACGTTCTACAGATAGTCAACAAAAGGTGAAATGTCACTGGAAGAGAAATTACTTTTAATCAAGTTTCTCCTTGATTATAATTTATTATTTCATTTATTGGTCTATAGGTATCCCACTTATGGTGCCTACAGTTGCATTTGTCAGATAACATGTCGTTGTTGTGCAAGGAATATTGGATGACCAGGGAAAGTGTATGGCACACCGTTTTTAAACACTTTTTCAAGAGCTTACAACTTAACACCGGTAAAACTTTGTTATATGAGTAACTCAGAAGATAGTTAATTTTTTTGAAGTAATAATAGGAAAGTTAGGCTCAGTTTTTTTCAGTTTGATTCTGTCTGTATACATCAGGTTAATCTACGTATTTAAACAGAAGTTTTTATCAGTCTCCTTCTACCATAAAATTCTGATTCTTGATGTTTCACTTGCCTAGGTATGGCC